ATTCCAGTTAATGTTGAAATCTCCTTTGTTCCCCATCAGTGGTCTCATTCCTCGCCCTCCCCCCAGAGACAGCCACTGGCGTGAATTTAGCTTATATCCTTCTAGAATATTTAAAGATACTTTACAGGCATATGTGTTTCCATGAGTAACACATGCAGTTTTGTGTGGGATCTGCATTGTATGTAGTATCCCACAACTTAGCCCGGGCAGTTACACGAGCCCCTGAGGAGGAGGCCGCTCTGCTCCCAGGCGGAGCATCCTCACACCCCCACCGGGGTTTTCACCCCAATTTCACGGAGGAAATGGAGACTTGAGGACGCTGGCCCTGCCTGGGGTCAGCTTGTGATCTACTCGTGTGATCCCCGCGTTTCTGCCCACTGTGATTTCCAGCCCTGGAGTCTGGTGGGAAGCTCACCAACTCACGGTCGTTAAATCTGGCTTCTGTTGTCCACTCCTCACCTGACAACTCTGATAGCTGCACAGGTGACTTAGCTTCTCTTTGCCTCAGTTTCCTCTCCTCTGAAATGGGATTCAAATTGGCTGCCTCCCTGCCCAACGGATCGTGTCACAAACCAGATGAGATAGGATAAATCATGCTGGTGAGGCACTTTGTAAGCCACACAGTGGTCTGTGGATGGGAGAGGCTTTGAGGATGACATACTTGGCCCATTTTTTCACTTTCCTTATTAACAGACAACCTACCGTGTTCCAGCTGCATCCCTATGATTTTATATGCATTACAATATTTAATCCTCATTCCTCAAGCCGTAGCTTTAGAAAGATTGTTTTCTGGCTTGTTTATTACTACTATGGCAACAACATTTTTTCTTCCTTTATAAACATCATATCCATAGTATTTCAGCCTCATTATGGGTTAATTGAATTTATGGGTAGGCCTTGGAACCCCATCAAAATTTATAGCTGTATTTCTGTGGAAAAATTGCTTCTAAGCATCAAAAAACCAAAGTACAGGGGAATTTTTAGAACACACCAGTTTTTAAGTTGGGACCACTGTACTGTTTGCGTTGTTCTCTAATTAGTTTGTGAAAGGATAGCTAATCTCCCTGGTGAGATTATAGACTTCTTAAAGGTGGGCACTACATCTTGCATGGATCCCCCATAGTACCCAGCAGGTGCCAAGTTCAAGAATGTAGTCAACACATACTTGTTAATTCTTCCAAAGCCCAGCTGCCTGTCTTTCCCCAAGAAGTGGGTGCTGATTACAGTTGCCTGGGTGCCCCTGGGAACGTCTGTGGTCATCATCATCCTACACTGTCAGACTTGATGACTCACAGATGAGGCCCACCAGAACCAGTATGTCTTGTCCAGGTTCGCTCGGCTGAATGGTAATTATAACAGTAATAATAATATCAACTAATTGTTTTAGTTCTTTGTATATGCCAACACATGGCTAGATGTTTTACATTTGTTAGTGTATTTAATCTTCACAAAGTAATTTTAGATTGTTATTTTTATTATTCCTATTTTACAAATGAGCATATTAAGGCCCAGAAAGGTTAAGCAACTTGCCTAAGGTCACAGAGCTGGTAAAAGCACAAAACCGAGATCCAGACATAGACAGCCTGGCTCCAGGCCGCGAGCTCTCGGCTGCTGTGCTGTGCGGCCCGCCCCAGAAAGCCCAGCAGTGAGCCTGCTGCCTGGACCGTCAGCCAGCCACCCTCTCAACTGGGGCTGCTTGGCCTGATAGTGCAGCGCTGGCATTTTCACTGGCTTCGTCTCAAGTGATCTATATTAAATCCTTGGTCAGTAGGCAAGACGGGTACTTTTTTAAATGCTTGCATCTACACTCCACCAACTTCTAACAATACAGAAAAGTACAAAAGTAAACTAAATGATTCTTGAAATCCTTCCATCCAAAGCTAAAATCTTGATTTCAGCATTTGCCAACATTTTGGCAAACATTGTTACAGACACCTCTTTGAATACGTACATGTATAGAGTCACGTTTACAGCTGGACATAATTGGGACCGCATTCTAGATGCACCTCTGTGACCAGAGGAGTGATGTTATTTCTGTCAGTGTTGGACAGATGAGGAAAGTACCTCTCAGAGAAGAGCAGTGACTGGTCGGGTCAGAGCCAGTACAGGCTTGAGACTTCACTCCTGTATGGGGTTTTTGGTTTTTATTAAGCCCTCAAAGCAGAGACCATGTTTATTTTTGGCCTCCTTGCTCCTTCCACCGCCCCGTCTGCACCCAGTGCTGGCTGTGTGCTGGGGGCCGCCAGGCCTCTGGTGCCCGTTGTCCTTCCCAGAAAGAAGCTCGCCTACCGGAGAAGAGGTTCTGTGCACTCGGAGTGGAACATTTGTGCAGCTGTCAGTGAAGCCCAGTAAAAATGGCGGGGCAGCTTTCACATGGATGAAACGGTGGTGGTGGTTTCCCGCCCTGGGAAATCTTGGCTGAGGCAGTATCCTTGGAAGTCCCACAGTGACTGCAAGTGTGGCCCAGCTGTGGTGACGGCTGTTCCAATGCCACCTTATCATTTCCCTATCAAGCAACGTTTCAAGTCATTTTGAAGAAGTTCAGGGGAAATGGAATCTGATAGTTGGGCAAGGAGAGATGTTCATGACCTCGTCCCAACTAAGCAACTTCCCTTCCTACTGATATTTGGTCTTAGCATTGGTATCTAGTTCTGCTGAAAATGAAATCATATATTCACCTCTCAGGCTGTGTTAGTGAAAATGAACTCTAATGTGATTAGATATTAATGCAGTGTAATGGAGGATTGGTATTAAATTGAGACCTTCTGATCTTATTACCCCTCAAATGCTCCCTCCCGCTCAGGCTGCTGCCCTGCTTCCCCAAGCAGAAGCGAAGGCGGCGGGGCCAGAGCCCTGAGCCCTGAGCCGCTGCGGGAGCCGGTGTAGGGAGAGAGGAGCGGAGGGGCTGCAGAGCAGTGGCAGGGAGAGGGAGCGGGCTCGCTGAGCCGCGCTGCAGGGACCTCCTGTGCAGGGTGGAGGGCGGAGCCGGCGGGACCCCAGGGCCAGAATTCTGGGCCCGCCGGTGCTCTCAGAGCCTCACGCGTGTTGGGGACAGGGAGCTTCCACTGCAGAGTTTTACCTTTATGTCGAGCATCGCTTGAAGACTTGACAGGCAGCTGAGACGAACAGCATCCTCACCATCTCTCCTACTGCCCCCTCCGCACCCCAATCCTTTTTGTGAAACTGTGACTTGAACCTGATAGTTGTCAGTGGCTGTTGTGGCTTATCCTAGTTCTGTTTGCCTTTCCTGGAGGCATGGTCTGAGAGGCAGGCAGGGGTCCAGCTTTAGTATGTGCATGGCTTCCTTTAGAGACAGGGATGGGACTCTGATATTCTGCATGGTGTGAACCTCGGCCAGGAGCAGTTCCCCTCATTTCTCCTGGCCCGCTGGGGGAAGGGTGCCAGTGGGTGGTCAGTTCCACTACTCCCCTTGGAAGTGACAGCCAGGCCTGTGGAACCCCCACACGGCCGCGAGGGCCTCCCCGCCAGCCTGCAGGCCGTATCCCGCCCAGCAGCCCCCCACGAGACCTGGGGGTTCTGGGAGGACAGCAGTCCCCCACCACGAAAATGGACCACGAGCGCAAGCCCTGGGCATGGTCACATGGCATCACCTTCATGTATGAATAATAGCATTTTTACAGAGAGAGTGATTTTTCTTATTCTGTTTCTAGAAAATTGCTTTCAGAGGCACAGACTTTGCACACAAGATGGTAACGACTTTTTAATGACCTTAAGGGGACTGGTGTCCAGGCAGCAGTGAATCAATCTCAGTGGGAGGTTCATAGTGAGAGAGAAGATGGAACACCTGAAACCAAGAGGGGAAAAACAAACTGCAAATACATATATTTTCTTTGCTAGCATTACTTGGTAATTAGACAATTACAGGAAACAGCTTCCCAGCAGCTGGCATTTCCACTGTGAGAGCGGAGGAGGAATGGCAACAACTGTGAACTCCTCACATTTATTACAGAAAATATTACTGGAGTTTACAGTGGTGGGTGCCACGCACTCCTCCCGTGCGCTCTGATGAGCTGCCGAGCCTCAGCCCGAGACGGACCCTCCTCCCGGGTTTGCTCTGGGCCTGCTCTGCCGGCCCTGCCCACGCCGGTCAGTGAGGACTGGCCTTTCAAATACCGGGGACGCGTTTGAGCCACCCAGAGGCAGGCCAGTCCTGAGAGTAGACGGTCTGGGGGCGGTGTTTGGAAGCAGAAAAGGGGGCAGAGGTTTGTGGAACACTTGCCTCCTCCCCCGTGCCACCACACACCTGGGGCGGTTAGATGGTAGCACGTGACCCCACTGCACACCCCGAGTGCCGGGACCCCGAGGCCCCCACGCCCTGCCCCGCCAGCCCACTTCCCTGCCCTCTCCCACACACTCAGCCCAGGAGCCTCCCACTCTCGTGGTGGCTGATGAGTGGCTGCGGCTGTTCCGCCGGCAGCCCTCTGAGGTCGCCCCACCGTGACCCCACTGCACACCCCGAGTGCCGGGACCCCGCGGCCCCCACGCCCTGCCCCGACAGCCCACCTCCCTGCCCTCTCACACACGCTCAGCCCAGGAGCCTCCCACTCGCCTGGTGGCTGATGAGTGGCTGCGGCCATTCCGCCGGCAGCCTTCTGAGGTCGCCCCACCGTGGCCCCATTTTATAAACCAGGAAATGTATTTTGTGAGCTCCTTCCAACCATCATTACGTTTATATGTGTCGGCACTGCACTGTTGCCATGATGTGACCCTGGTCTGCATTTTGTGCTTGCTTATGGGGGCTTTATAAGAATTCTAAGTGACATTCGTAGATGGGTTGGGGTGCCTTCTTTGACAAGATTATAGGCTCCCAAATAGGGACACCGCGTATCCCCCGCCCCCCCAGCCCACATTAGGTGCCGCCTGCGGCCCTCCTTCAGCGCGGTCTCCCAGGGACAGAGGCCTCCCTCGGGACTCCGTCCACGCTGTCAGCAGGGTTAACGGCACCGTCTAACCGGGCAAATGGTTGTGTCCCCTCACAGGTCCTGGCAGTCAGTAACTTTTGAGAGACAGCCTGCCTCCTTCATCCGCATCGTTGGAACACACAACACAGCAAATGAGGTAAGCGTGTCTCCTCACGAGAGGTGCTGTGATATTTCATGATGTGCGGGTAAATGCTACATCCTGAGCTAAGCGGGACTGTTTGTTCTGCCCGCTAATGGCTCGGTGTTCAGACAGCTTGGTACAGAAGAAAGTCCTGCTATTGCACAGCTGGGACATCATTATCATTTCGGATGTCTCTCCACGAACAAATGAACACAGCTCCCACTGCTTTGCTTATTCCTGTCTGCAGAGCTGGCCACTACAGAGACCTTGAGAGGTCAAACTCCCCGTCCCTTGTCCCTGAGTCCTCAGAGTCCTCAGCCTCCCAAATGACAGCAATTTTATGAGGTTCCTTGCTTGGTCCTCTGAGCATGTATCTTACAGATGGCCATGCTGTTGACTTAGTTTGAGTATCACACTCTTTTATATTGTCGTACTTCATTTAGTGTGTCCCTCCAAAGGCCCTCAAGTTAAAGATAGAAAGCATAAGGAAGGGTAAGATTAAAATTCAAGAGGTAAATGAGGAGCATAAAAATAGTAACAGCCCTGCAATCTCACCCTTGCATGATCTTCCTCAGATCTATACAGGACTGGCTTTGTGGGCGTACCACTAGGACAGTCATGTGGGGCCCTGTGCTTGGGGTTTAATGCTCTATGGCACCATCTTGAAATTCTTAGTTTTTTAACCTTTGAATTATACTTCATAAGGGGACGCCCCATGGGACAATGGAGCACACACCAGGGGCTTGGGGCCTCTGCTCACATGTGATCCTGCCTCCTGCCCCGTCTCACCTTCCCAGGATGGGCTTTTGGCCATCCACTCCCTGACCCGTGGTACCTGGCCTCTGCTTGGCCTCCTCATCCTCATCCTGCCCCACGACCATGCCACCTCCCGGCCCCAGCGGGGCCCTGGCACAGTAGAAGAAGGACCAGGACCTGGTGTGAGTCTGAGCTAAAGGCACAGGATAGGGCCCTGGTTCCTGTGAGGGCTGCACTGGCCCGGGGGACCCCTCTGCCAAGGGAGACAATGTCAATTTGCAAATAAAACACAGCAGGACAGCTCAAGAGAGAGACTGAGGGAGAAAGGAGAAAATTTTTTTGCTGCTCTTTGAACACGGGGCTCTCCACCTTCACCAAGCAGCTGGGCCCCACGCATTATGGAGTTGGCCCTGGATCCATGCATTGCCTTCGTGGAATCAGAATTTTCCCAGAACACATCAAGGTGTTTAAAATGCTTCAAGAAGCATCTTAAAAAGTGAAAATATTGTGAGATAGTTTATATTCATTTTGCCTTTTCTATTTATTTAGAATAAAAATGATCCACACCCACAATGTGTTTCTTGCAGACAGCAGCTTGCAAACAGAAACCTGGAACTTTTTCTCTTCTTTATTTAAAAACAAACCTTAAAATTACAAAAGTAAACCAATTGATCTCTAAATTTGGAAGCTAAGAGGAAAAAAAGTTAAACCAATTGATATTTTTTAAAGCAAAATTTAAGAATTCTAAACATCAGGTCATAAAAGCCCTTTTTTCTTTTCATGATGTACCAAAAGTAAATTTGAATCTGTATTTTAATACATATTTGATCCCACAACCAATATCATATTTTTAAAATTTTGCCAATAAATCCCAATTATTTTTACCATTTAAGCTATGTTAAATTAATTATGTATCATTTAGTAAATTTGAAAACAATTGAAATTCATCTTTACATAGTAATATATCAAACTAGAATTAAATATTTTTCATTTGCAGTCCTTGTTTCTTATACAATGAATCCTGCTGAAAAGACCAGGTTTTTCCTTTAATTTCTAAGTGGAACTTGAAAGTTTACATTACAGCAGAAGGAATTCTCAAGTCAGAAAAGGCTGAGAAGCCCTGAGGGAGGCCTGCTCTGAGTCCCAGCCCATCACCTCAGTGGCCAAAGGAATAAAGAAGAAATCATGGATGTCTTTTTCCAAAGCTATTCTAGATGAAGATATAATTTCCATTATAGATTCTAAAGTTAGAGTACAAGATCTCTCTTCCATGATGGGTCTCCCAAAAATAATCTGTGCGAGGGTCCCAACCACTTTGGTGGAGCCGGACCAGCCAGTTTGAATGGGTTGGGTGGTAGGTCACTAGCTAAGTGGTGCTCTGTCACATTTGGCTGATGAATAACTTGCTCATCGGCCTTATTGAATCTACCGTACTATTGATCAGGAAGAAAAAGCCTCAAAGTAGTGTTGTCAACTGGGAAACATCTTATGTCATAAAATAAATAAACTAACAGGATACCATTCTCAGAGCACACAGAGGGCACAGTCAAGCTGTTCAGCTATTCACTGGGCATCAAGAATATGGCAAACCCTCAAAGAACATTCTTCACTGCCGCACGCTGGGTTCTAGGACATTATTCGAAGTGGTATTCCTATCGCAGAGAAGAGCAGAAATGTGTGTGGGCGGAGTTCAGAGGTGTGAGGCATGGGGCTGCGTGAGGGACTGAGGAGAACTGGGGTTGGTCAGGCAACTCCCAGGAGACAGCTCTGAAGGAGAACTGTGACACACAGCGGGGCGCTTGCCACCTCATGGGGGAGAGGCAACAGCCGGAAAGGAGGCTGGGGTGAGAGTCCAGGGCAACCCTGATTGATGGTCCCCTGGTAGCCAGAATTGTGGGGTCAGGGCACCTCTTTCTCACCAGGAGGGTGGCCTACAGGGCAGGGAATACAGGGTTTCCTCTGCCTGTCCCCACTTGTTTGCCAGGTGACATGAGTGCCTATCTCAGTCAGCCTGGGCTGCTGTTGCAGAATACCATAGACTGGGTGGCTGAAACAACAAATGTTTGTTTGTTTGTTTGTTTATTGAGACAGAGTCTTGCTTTGTTGCCCAGGCTAGAGTGAGTGCCGTGGCGTCAGCCTAGCTCACAGCAACCTCAATCTCCTGGGCTCAAGTGATCCTCCTGCCTCAGGCTCCAAAGTAGCTGGGGCTACAGGCATGCGCCACCATGCCCGGCTACATTTTTCTATGTATATTAGTTGACCAATTAATTTCTTTCTATTTATGGTAGAGACGAGGTCTCACTCTTGCTCAGGCTGGTTTCAAACTCCTGACCTCGAGCAATCCACCCGCCTCGGCCTCCCAGAGTGCTAGGATTACAAGTGTGAGCCACCGCACCTGGCCAATAAATGCTTATTTCTCACAGTTCTGGAGGCTGGAAGTCCAAGATCAGGGTGGTAGGCAGGGTCAGGCTGTTGATGAGGGCCCTCTTCCTGGTCATGCCCTCACTCGACCTTCTCAGAGAAAGACAGACAGGCACAGAGAGCTCTAGTCTCTTCTTTTTCCGTATAAGGACACTAAATCCCATCCTGGGGGCTCCATCCTCATGACCTCATCTAAACCTAATCACCTCCCAAAGGCCCCACCTAATACCACTCCACTGGGGGTTGGAACTTCAACATGGGAATTTGGGGGGGACACAAACATTCAGCCTTCCCTTTAGCCGCTGAATGTTTGTGAGCTCAAAGACTTCGTGCTGATTTTAGGAAGTACAGATGGAATTGGTTTTTAGCATGGAAAGTAATATTGTCTTCGTGCATAAAAGGAAGAGAGAAGCGGGTTAGTAAGCCCTTTGCCGCAGCCGCCAGGCGGCCGTTTCCCCAGGTGCTGCCCACGCGGACAGCAGCAGGCGGCGTGGGGGCCCTGTGATTGAAGGTGCACTGGGGGCGTGGGGAGAGGCCGGCCTGTGTGAAAGCGGCCTGCGCTGCTGGCTGTTCAGAGGGGCCTCGAGTAGTTTGGCGGCCGGGGACCAGAGAGTGCCTGTGACGACACCCCGACTCCGCACACCCAGCTGCTGCTGGGACAGCAGGGGGACCCCCGCGGCGGGAAAGCCGGGGAGAGAGGCTGGGATGTCTTGCCGCCGCAGGCACGCGTCCGTCCCACCCCGTCGGGTCGGCCAGGCCTCCCGTCCGGGGCGCTGTCTGTCTGCTGCATGCTAATCTCCCCGCTTCCGCCCCTGCCGCAGCCTGCCAGTCCGCGCGGCTCAGATTTCTTGATCGCCTGCGCTGGCACGCTTCTGATTTCCTGCGGCCTCGCGCGCCTCTCCTCGGGGAGGGCGCGTCTGCTGCCCGCATCTGTCTCTCATCTTCCTTTGTGAGCACCACGGCAACGAATTCATTTAATTTTTTAGCTATGTTTACGACTTGTGTCAATAAATTCCCCTAATGCTTACCTCTTAAAGACTCCACCACTTCTTCCGTGACCTCCTGCTCCTCGTGCACTCGGCACCGTCCTCGTGGTTTCCTGCGACGACTCAGAGCAGTGTCCTTTCCTTTCCCTGGCCTGGGGCTTGTCATCCTCTGCCCCCCCCCCCCCTCTTCGCTCTGTAATCTCCTTGCGTGGGTCTGGTTCCCGCACCCCCGAGTCTCTCCTTCACCCTCGAGCGCTGTTGTCCTCATCCTCTCTCTGCCCACGCCGCCGCTTCCTCCGTGCCCGGCACTGGCTGGCAGACGCGTGGCAGTTTGTCTTTCAGGGCGTCCACCTTCCCTCCGACTTGCATTCCTCTGATTCTCCTCAGTGCCTGTGACCAGAAAGGTCCTTCTTGGCCATTCCTCAGTCACTTTATGGTGGTCTCGGTCCCAACTTCGCAAACCCGTGGCCATTCCCATGTGGTTGCCCGCCTGCCCCTCTGCCAGCCGGGGGAGGCGACACTGCCCCACGGGGGAGGCGACACTGCTCCCTCCTGCGTCTTCATGTCTGAGCAAGGCTGGAAACGGCCTAGACGACAGCACCGCACGCCGCACACCGCGTGGAGAGCCTCGTGTTTCCACCCCGCGCTGTGTTCAGGGCTGCGCTGGCGCTGATGTGTGGGTCTCCACCAGCCCCCTCGTTTTCATTTCGTTAATTATCTTACAAAATAACTAGGGCACACACCTATGTCTTTAAAACAAATCCAGCCGGATCTAAATGAGATCAAGTCTGTGGACCTATGAAAATCCGTCAGCAGTATTAAAGAATAGCAGTGTTTCTTTTTGTGGCTTTT